AGATGGCCATGACAGGGCACACCTGTAACCCACATGAGGCTGCAGAGACAAGTGATCCTCAGCACTTGCTGGAGAGCCAGTCATGCCAATCAATGAGCTGCAGCTTCAGTGAGAGACCTACCTCAAAAACTAATGCGGAGAGCCACAGAGGAAGACATGCAGCAATTGGCCTCTAACCTATATACCACAAGCACTACACATGTACACATATATGCACATATCACAACAACAGAAATGTTACCAACATGCAAACATGTGTAACATTTCCCTTAGAAACCCCAAAAATCTGCTATTTGTTTGTCTGTCTGTTTTTTTTTTTGTTTTTGTTTTGTTTTGTTTTTTCCTGAGACAGGGTTTCTCTGTAGCTTTAGAGTCTGTCCTGGAACTAGCTCTGTAGACCAGGCTGGACTCAAACTCTCAGAGATCTGCCTGTCTCTTCCTCCTGATTTCTGGGATTAAAGGTGTGTACCACCACTGTCTGGATACAAATCTATTTCTTTGGTCACACTTGGAGGATGCTAGAGAGCTACTTCTTCAATTTGAAAACTGGTACAGAAAGGAAAACAATGTAACCTTCACCCTACTTTTCCTGGGAAAGTTTCATCTCAGGATTATCAAATCAAGCTGTGAAGAAATGTTTTCTTTCTAGCTATTAAAAAAGACAGACTTGGAATAGTACTCTGTATTCCCAATGGAAATACCCAAAGGGGAGACAATCTGAATGTCTACATGTTTCCTGATGCTGTAGCACACACAACATTAACTATGGAGCAGTGTTACCGAAAACAATAGTAAGATCTGACTTGGATTCTAACTTCGATGCCACAAGGAATGCAATGGGTGAGCATACCTTGGGGTTCAGTGACCAAAATTTAGGCCATCAGTGACACTGTAGACAAAAATCTGCTTTCTTCAACTAATAAACTCTTACTAGAAAAGGAGTGAGTCTTGGAGAGTGCAGATAAGGAGCCTTATCAGATTCCTGGGGAGGGTGCTGGGAATGGAAGCCAAGGCTTTCTTTACTCATGTTAAGCAGGCACTGTGCTATGGAGTCCTGTTTCCTTCCCTTTAAATTCTGATTTGAATAACTTACAAAATACAAATTTTCTCACTTCAGACTTTGAAAAACTATTAGGAGACATTTCAATACTGGCTGACCACTTATTATCTTAAGAAATTACTATTCAAATTTGAGGAATTATAATGGCATTATAATACTATATACAAATTTACTTTTAGAAATATATAATGAAATATTTACAGATGAAATGATAAGACACTGATGATTGACTTCAAAATAATCTAGTGGAGAAGCTGGAGAGATGGCTCAGTGTTTAAGAGGACTGGATGCTCTTCCAGAGGACTCAGCACCCCACTGTGGCGCACAACTCTCTATAACTCCAGTTTCAGGGGATCTGACTTCCTCTACTCGCCCTCTTTGGGCACCAGGTACACATGTGCACATAGACATACATACAGGCAAGATATGCATACACATAAGAGTAATAGTAATCTGGTGGGGAGGAAGTTATAGACAGACAAAACTAAGCTGGCTGGGTGGTCTCAAAGACAGCTGGTAGGGACTATGTGTGAGTAACTGATGTAGGATTCCCCTCTGTATGCCGTGAACATGTATTATTAACATCAGTTAATAAAGAAGCTGCTTTGGCCTATACAGAGCAGAATATAGCAAGGAGGGAAATCCAAGCAGAGGAGGAGGAGAAAAGAAGGCGGAGTCAGGGAGATATCATGTAGCTGCTGAAGGAGAAAGACGTCAGAACCTTACCGGAAAGTGACAGCCTCATGGAAATACACAGATTAATAGAAATGGGTTAATTTAAGATATAAGAGCTAGCCAGGGGTACACCTGAGCCACTGGCCAGTGTTGTAATTAATATAGTTCTGTGTGATTATTCAGGTCTGGGTGGCCAGGAACAAAAAAAGTGATCTCTGTTTACAAGATACTAGTATGATACTCAATCTTTCAACGACTATGAATAATCAGACCTCAGCAAACATATACAAAGATCACAAAGTAGAGTGTTGAGCAAACACCACATCTGGGAGGTCAGGAACGTGTAGAACAGGAGTTGCTTCTGTGCCTCACTGGTGCCATGCTAGGGCCTCTAGCAACTCTTCCTAACACTGAGGAGACAGTCACCACAAGCCTGCTCTGGCAGGAGAGGACGCATTCGGGCAAGATGCACAAGCAGCCATCAATCAAGTGTGATAGGGCTGCGACAGCAGCAGTGAGGTGGTGGTAGGACCAGCTAGGGCCCAATCCCAGGGACAGGGAAGCTGGCCAAGTTGCAGGCTTTCCTGCTAAGCTGTGTAAGTGAAGCAGCATGGTGAGGGGAAGGTGCAGGCCATGGTGCCACACGCCTACAGTCCCAGCATGTGAGAAACACACAGTGGATTATGAGTTTGAGGGTTGACAAAACTAAACTAAAGCAAACAAAATAGAAAACAACCCCCTAAACACACACACACACACACACACACACACACACACACACACACACACAAGAAATCCTTGGTGGGAAAGACTAAGATGCAGAGATGCAGAGTTGACATCATTACCTCTGCTGTGTCACTTCCTGGTACCATTACATGTTATAACACTAAAATCTGATTATCAAAACTACAAATGACTTAAAGTCATTTTTAAGGTCTATAGAAGAATAATTAGAAGACCCTGAGCTGTTGAAGGAAGACTGAGAGCTGAGAAACAATCTATGAAGCGAGACATAACAGGAGGCTTTGACACTCCAATAGATACGCATGGTATTTCTGCTGTCTTCCTCTTTCTCGCCAGTCATGACAATATCAAGCTTAGTGAGTGGCTCTCAAGGAAGTTTCATCTAAAAAGATCCACCTCTCGGCACATCTATCTGCCTGTGCTCCTGCAGTGTCCACTCCTTTCTTGGGAGGTTCCAGCAGGATCACTAGCGAAAGACTATGTGCTGTTAAAATGCATCTGACGTCATCAACATGCCCATCTGTCCAGTCCTACTTTAAACACCTCTGTAAGCTAAGCAAAGCTGCGACGTCAGACTCAGGGTAATGAGAGCCCCATGTTCCTCTCCACCAACACCACCTCCCTTCTGCCTAGTCTGGGCAGCTCTGAACTGTAGAGATGGCCCCCAGGAGGTTCAGAGTGCACCCCACGGCAGGTCATCTGCTGGTGAGTTCACACATATAGCTGCCTACTGGCAGTGCTGCTGCTCCTGCGTGGCTGAGGGATGATGGCAGGTGTGGCACTGCAGTGCTCTTCGCAGTCACACTTGTACGCCTCGTCGAAAGGGGCTTGAAGAAGTGTCCTGTCGGACATCAAAACAACTTCCTGCGTTTGCAGTCCTCTCCTATCATTTGACAAGCCTGAGACTATTACAGCCTTGGACAGCTCTGACTGCATCAGCTTCGACTAAACACGCAAAAGAGCATGTCTTACCATAACGGATACCAAGTTTTATTCTCTACCAGATGGCCTCTCTACCAGATGGCCTCTCTACCAGATGGGCCTGTTTCTTCGGTAATTACAGTATCAACAATTTTGTTCTTCCTACAGTATGAAGGGGACTGATTTACATGGATACAACATGTATAAGAATGCAGGCCTTGGGGCTGAAATGATGTCACACAGGTTGTGAATCTGAAAGCTCTTGGTCTCCTCAGATCTTCCTCATCAAGGTCTCTCCTGACTGCACACAATGAGGCCTGAAGTCTTCAGGGGACCTAGGCAGCCTGTACCCACAAATCTACATATCCAACAGAATTAGAAGACAATGCCACCACTGAGTGCTTCAAATTTGTTAATTTTCAAATTACTTGAAAGTCACAAAAACAACACTACTAATTTTTTAAATTACATTAACAGTAAAGTAAAAAAAAGAATTATTTTGGTTGAGCTCTAAAAATCCTCTTCTCAATGGAAAATTTCTAGTCTTGGTATTTCTGCACATTGCGAGGGCAACAGCAGACACAAGGAATTTTAGGCTCCAACCATGCAAACATCACTGCCCGTGTCTGAGTCTGTACTCCTCTTTGTTAGTCACTGCCATGCTGAAGACTTACATTAATGTGGATCTGTGTCCCACCATGGACAAGAGAACAGAATTCTCTTCTGAAGGCACAGAACTCTATTTTAGGTAAGGCTAGACAAAAGCACACTCTGCCCACAATATGCTGTGAGTTATTTCTCAAAGAAAGCTACAGCAAAAGCACAAATTCAAGGATCTCATGAGCCTATGTATGCAGGAGGTGAGGAACTACCCAAGGGCACGGGAGTAAGTTGTCTGGAAAGAACACATCACTCTTGACATCACCAAGGCCACGAGCAGGGATGGATGGTACACAATGGGCTAAGCAATGATTAAAACAAAGACTGCCCCCAAACTAACCCAGAATTTAAAATCTCCTTGGAAAAAAGTAGCCAGGCAGCTCCCACCCAGTAACTTGACTTCCTCAGCGATAGTTCAGCATTGCAGTCTTACTCAAATTATAGACTGCAACTTTTTCGAGGGTGATTTGGCTAAGAAGAGCAAATCTGGAATTGAAATGTCTAGGAAAACATTCCCCCAGCTATACATACCATTCCTATAAAATCAAAGCCAACACGCCTTCGTAGCCCTGGAAACTATGACCATCAGATCAATACTAGACATCCTCCCCAGCCTCAGCTATATTAAATATAGAAAAGCCTTCGGAGTGAAAGCCTTTGCCTGGCTATCAAGAGCATTTTCTACTCTGCAAATCTGGACAACTCCCTAAACGCTTCCAATCTTAGCTGTAGTGTAATATTCATATTTGTTTTTCCTTTACTTTACTGGGTTTATTATTTTGAATTCTTCTACAAATAAAGCCTCTGTCACTCCGGCATACGACATTTAAAAATTAACTCAAGTCCTCAGTCAGATCTGATTAAGAGGAATTATTAGACTAAGAAAATTATGAAGGCAAAGTATCTAAGCATATATGCAAAAATATCATGTACTACTTACCTATTAGGCCCTTTTCCAGAGTAAAGGTTTTGTTTGTAAACATACATTCAAAAGCCACAATGTGGAAAATCTTGTTCACTGTGTTGTGAGTCCCAACTATTCGGATATACCTGAGGGAGAAAAGAAAGCACACGTGTTAGAATGAGCTCTGCCACATCCAAGCCAGGCTAGGCAGGTAAGGCACCCCACACCACGGAGTAGAGGGGACCTTGAGAGTTTTTAAGTCAACCTCCTTGGCTGGCTCATGGCCATGCCGTTTCACATGGAATTAAGCAAACCTTGGCTCTGACTTACCTAGAAATCACACCAGGTACTATTTAGTTCAACCCTTGCATGTCAGAGCAAATATAAATCCACAAGGCATTTACTCTGGAGAATAACAACCAGCTTCTACCTTGACTCATGACTAGGAGTCTCTCTGGGTATAAGTGCAAAACTATAAGAAAATCAAATGTTTTCAGCTCCAAGAGCTTCCATCCATTGCAGGTAGATGCATGAAATCAATACTGCTTCCCTGTTCAGAAGGAAACATGCACATAACCTACTGAAAACCACTACGGAAGGAAGTCTTCTCTTTAGGTGCTGCTCCCAAGTCCCTCTAGGAAGTGAACCCTATATACTTACACCAGTCCCCCACCTGACTGCTGGGGCGCCTTCTCTGTAGAGAGGACCCAGCCCGCTCTGCAGCTTCCCTCTGGGCCCCACGGCTCTGCCATCTATCTGCACATGGTGTGGAGTTTCACCGGGCAGGTCTGTAGTGTCTTGGCCTGTTCATCCTATCCATTTCCCCAGAAGCTTCATCACCGACAAACAAGCACTAAACCTAGGAGCCCTTAGCTCTAAAAGAATGGCAGTTCACAGGATAACGAGGACACAGTCAATACCGTAGGGAATGTACTCCATGTTATTGCACTAGAATTCAAAGAAGAACCACGAAAAATAACTAGATTAACTAAGAATTCTCATTCTTCCAAATTATGAACTATGTACTGAGAGAACAGATTTCAATTAGGAAATGACAGTCTGGGCAAGGCTTTAGTAATACCCTCCCTCTGCACATACAACAACCTTCAATTTAGACAATATAATTTTACTTCTATGTTAATTGCTGTCCACCAATTCCATAATTTCCTAACGTTTCTCATCACTCTGAATTAACTGCATAATGTAAAAGACTATTTGAAGCATTCACATTAAGGAGACTGTATTTAGGGGTTTCGCATTATGGGCTATCTTCCTCCGTTTCTTCCAGCCTGAGCCTCATGGCATTCCCTGTGCACCTCATTTAGCCATCTGCTCCTTGACACAAGCCGATCACTCATCTTCATAACCCATATTAATGGGATCTCCTGGACTAGCTATTCAGAATGCCTGGACTTAGTGCAGAGAGTCATACTTCCCTTGCTGAGATCTGGCTCCTACCAGAACCCTGCAGGCACAAGGCAGGTTTCTCCAACTTCCTCAGCATCAATGTAGACAAAGAGGGCTGAGTTGATTGGGCTTTCTTTTGGTTTTGGTGGAGAGTTCATTTAAATTAGATTCTTAATGGTCTGAGTAGTACTACAGATTGTGTTGTCTTTTACTTCAGACAGCTAACGTCTCCCCAGTGCTTTCTGGGAGGGAAGGGGTGTACTAAATCTGGCACCTTGGCCTGAATCTAATTTTGGTCATTTCCTGTAACCACAGGAACTCAACTAGCATTGCACTTTCAACCGCACATGGCCAAGGCAGCCTGAGTGCTGCTGTCTGCAACCTCAGAGCAGGCAGTTTGATGTAATCTGATCAGATCCTATTCCCAAGGTTAAGTTACCCAAGAAGAACGAGCTCTCCTACTGTGCATGGTACAAGAGTCAGGGATGACTAATAGGGCCTTTCCCCTTGGCAGTGCCTAAAGCAGATGCTGATCGGCCTCCCTTCCCTGTTTAAACATGGAATCAAGCTTTCAAGTTCAGATAATTGTCATTTTGCAAATTTACCCTGATGTAAATGGCATGGACAGACAAAACAATGCAACCTTGCCTTCCCTTGCCACATGGTTATAAGCAACTGGGGACAAACAGCTGTAGTGGAATACATTTTACAACTTTAAAGACAGTGTTTGTGACAATAAAGAAAATACTAGATAAGAGAGGAACACTGAGAAATGTCTCCAGGTCAAAGCCCCACATAAATGAAGACAGTGTTATCTCCACCCATAATCCTGAGGTCAAATGAGCCATTCATCACCATACATCACACTCCTCGCTGGCTACACAGCACGCCCATAACAAGCCCTGTCACCCTGGCTCACATGCTTTCTAAGCCTGCACAATTACAGCATAACTTACAGCAATGGCTTCAAGTCCTTACCCAAACCCACACTTCAAGAGATGGAATGTGGTTTTTAAACATAAAGCAAAGAAAACCAGCCCACAAATCACAATCCCAGAGAACCTAGACAACAATGAGGACCCTAAGGGAGACTTATATAGATCTAATCTACATGGGAACTAGAAAAAGACAAGATCTCCTGAGTAAATTGAGAGCATGGGGATCTTGGGAGAGGGTTGAAGGGGAGGGGCTAGGTAGGGAGGGGAACAGAGAAAAATGTAGAGCTCAATAAAAATTAAAAAAAAGAAAAAAGAAAGAAATGGAACACCAAAAGAAAGAAGCCAGAAGGAGCCAGGCCTCTCCTTCCTGCACTGAAGAGAGCAACTAGAATCAGCATGGGTGTCAGTAAAGGGCCCTACACTAAGAATTCAGAGGCCTGTCTTACTTGGAGACCCTCTTATGCTCACAAGCACCTACCCTGATGACAACCACAGTTCCTCTCGAGAGCTCAGAATGCAGACCCCACGATGGAGGAGAAGTTCTAACTGAAAACCCAGGAGAAAGGGTAGGGATGGAGTCAATGTTTTTTGTTTGTTTTGTTTTTTAATTTTCTTTGAAATAGCAAAACGAAGTGATCCTAACATCTGAGCAAGAGAAGTAGACATCGTTCTTCTGCCACAAGATAGCAAACAAAGCTTGAGACTTCTCTTCGCCCTTCAGCACTGTCTCTGCGGTGCATGGTTAGCAATATCACCTGGTAACCAGGGCAGGGGCAGGAAGGGCAGCCTCAGTGAGCGATGAGGAGCTGTCTAGCAGCTGGAGCACTACACTTTGTTCTCTCAGAGGCCCTCAACACAGCAGCTCAGTTTGAAGATAATTAAAACTTAAACGGTGCCACAGAAGGCAGACAGGCAGCAGATTGGCGGGTTCTGGGGAAGATGAATGCCATCTACACGAGTCCCAGGGAACCAGTCTATTTTCGACACTCTCCTGCCTTCCTTGTGCTCACTGTCTTCAAGAGGCTGACAGAGCCCAGACCCTGAACACAGTTCAGAACAAGATGTTTCAATAACAAAGTTCTTCAGTGCTAACAGACTATGGGTGAAAGGGATTCTGTCTTCTTTAATAAGATAAGCTAAAATGTTCAGGACAGCCTACTAAAATGGGAAGGCATTGCAGAGTTTTACAACAATGTGGGCTTCAAAGCAGCGCAGTTCACCATGTAGTTAGATGAGTCAAACGAGAGAAAAATGTTTAAAAATTTTTGAACCTTGGTTTCCTCCTCTATTAAGAAAGGTCAGCAACACACCCAAGTCATGGGTTTTCAAAGCCAAATCCCAGGATACCGCCCTATGAGTTCGTCAGGTAGACCACAGAGGATATCAGAGCAAAGTGGGTTATTACCATTGCTCTTGACTGCCCACCAGAACTAGTCAGTAAAACCCTATTGTTGAAGATACCACACATTCTGGATATAAAAGACAGAGAAACAAAGTTGGAATTGAGCTGGCAGCTCTCTCTCTTGTAGCCAGCATTCAATGTGTTGGACGTGGTATGCAGGCCATTGGGGGAAGAGAATACTTCTTCAGTAATCACATCCAGCTACAGACCCTTCATGCTACAATAGTGAACTGCTTGACAAGACATGCCTATTCAAGGTAGAATAGTGTCATGAATGTGCTGGGCTAACCAGCTGCCTCCTGATCAGATCCAGAGGAAGGAGTATATGCCTAGCACCATAAAACTGCTCAATAGCCAGGGCCAAGGAGCTTGGTCACAGGATCTAGGGGGAATCCACTACTTACGCTTTGCCAAATGGACATGCAGTTGAACTGCCTTCCAAATGTTCATACTAATATACCCAAGCAGCACTCAACCTTGACCAGAAAAGCCTGTTTTGGCAATGGGTGACGGTCGAAGTGGTAAGAATACGTGGCTGCTAAGTGGTTGGTTCCAAATGGGGCATCTATGTCATGCCTCCACGTGCCAGGGAACATGATGGAAGAAGAAGGCAAATGGATGTGGGAACCACAGGGTAGGGAGGAGTGCAGTGGAGCACTGACTTAAAATCACATGGCTGCTGCAAACATGAAGACCCAGAAGCTATGACCCGGCACCCCCAAATAAGAAGGAAATGAGGGAAGGACAGAGGATAGGAGGGGGATTCGGTGGGGAGAAGAGAATCAGTGGAGGTGGAAGAGGATAAAAGAGGAAGGGGTGTGAATCTCAGTACATTGTATACACAGTATGGTCCTGTTACTTTAAAAAATAATTAACAATAAAAATCACCCACAAAAAGTCAACAATAGAAACGCTACAGAATATTTAAGTAAGTTCAATATTTTAAAGTTACCAAAGGCAGAGTGTGGCAGAGCAGGATACCCTTAGTGTAGACTGGTGGGGACATCATTTTGTGGTTTGGACTTTGGATGCTGGGCCACCTAGGAGAGTATTCCTGAACCCAGATGGTGGAGTGGGACAGGCCACAGGGCAGATGTGACATCATCGCATAGAGCAATAATGGGCTGAAGGAAGCAGGTTCTAGTAAGAATGAACATTTCCTGATTCTATGGTATTCCTATTTTGGTCACCCAGGCTAAAAAAAAAAAAACAAAAAACCTTTCTGGCCTGTCTCAATGCTCGTGGAAGCGATGCCCCGATATGAGCTTAAAGCTTAAAGCCTCTACCCGCCTTCCGAAGCTTCCCTCTTCAGCAGACAAGGAGAAAGAAACCCAGGTGGTGTGGTAAATTGTTCAGTCCAACCGAAGGGCTCATATTTTTGTGCACACCTTGGAAGTTA